TCTTACAAAATGGGATTCTGCTCATACAAAATGGGATTCTACCACATCCGAAAGCGATCAGGTACAATATCTCACTCCCTTTTTTCACTATAACCGTAGTGAAACTGCAGATAAATTATTACAAGTTGGGAACTCACGAGAACACCTTCTGCGTTAACACTTCCGATAATCTTCATCATTACAGTTTGCTGATCCGATGAATTCAAACCCCATACGTAGAAGATGGGATCACGTGTGTAATTCCGGTTTATGATTACTCGCCCTGTGAACCCTGCAACATACACGTAACTCGGCAGAAAAGTAATGCCAGGTTCAGTACTGCTTGTTCCCTTTCAAGCCGCATTGTCGAAACAAGTTTGAAAAGATTCAGATGGACAGTCTACGCAACAGTTATGCCCATAAATGTTGCCAGCCATTCTGATCATCAGACCGCATTACAATTCCCTTCAGTGTGGCAAGTTTTCAAAGTGGACCCCAACTGTGAAATGTGGTACTTAATGAGAGTATTTGTCCTCGGCTAGAAAGCTCACCTTCGAAAACGCCAACGGACCTAACAACGAGTTCAGATCCGTTGGGATCTGGGTTGCCTGCTGCTATAGATTTATTAAGCGCCAGTGCGTACATCAGCATAGCATCGGCTACTTCTCCAACTAATGAAATTGCCTGAAAACTTGGAACAATTATTTACCTCTCTCTGAGCCGATCACTTCTTTGAAGTCAGCGAAAAATATCGGAGCATTGCTCTGAGCGGGAGCGGTTTTTACAGTAATTAGTGATAAACGAAATACTATGTACTCTACCGGATCAATATTTGTGCAGTCGTTGCAGTTGTATGGTGGCTGTTTCATTTTTGCTATTACATCCGCAACGAATTTCGTTGTTGAGTTTAACGGTTCAGCGTCAATCTGGAGAACTCTCGGAAACAAATCTGCATCATTCTGAACACTACAAAAAATTGTGTAAGTCGAGATTAGGCTCACTATAAAAAACTTCCGTGCTGCTCGTAGGGCGAGAGCATCTTTACCATCAGCAGGTGCTTGTTTGTCTTTCCATATTTCAGCTAAAATAGGGCAACTTAAATTCGGGAGCTGACGAGGTAGCAGAGATCACAAATAAAGACGAGGTGTCTTTTTCGATAACTATTTCCTTAGTTCAATATTTGCCCACTATCCTATTCTAAACATCTTTCACCATTCTCATCGCAGGTATCTCTCTTATACTATTCATCTTCCACCATTTCATAGATCTCACTCTCGTAATTGCTTGAAGCGTTTTCTTCTCCTATTAGTGTACTTTTTTGATTATCAGTTCAGAAAAAGATCATGACAACGCTCCTGACTTTGATGCCGATTTCGGACTTACAATGAGTATCCATGTAGAAGGACGAGGATGAAGTTTTTGGTGGTAATGGATTTCGTTACCGGGAAGCGATCTCTTACACTGAGAGGGAGCGATGAATAGTGTTCCGACTCAGACTTCGACTTTGGATCGTGGTTGACTATTTTGTTAATTTATTTATTCGTCCGATAGATATAGGGCTCCTGAAAAGTGAGCACACTTGATTGTCATCCACAGAATACAAAGAGATGACATGTACATGTTATGCTCCCATTGGTGATTTCATCACCAGCTATGGGCCTGCGAACACCTCCCCAGATAATCACTCACACTTCATATCACTTTATTCGGGAAACCATTCGGCTTACCCGGGGTCCCCTCCTTCTCGTGTTGAAATGGCCTCCCCGCCTGCACCTTCTTTCCACATTTGAGGCTTCGTTAGATAAGAACAAATGTTATTCATTCCCGGCCAAACACAAACACCCAACACAATTCGTGCGCGCTCCGTCCGCCATAACCAACTTCCTTAGATTCTGCATGTTTGAGTAACTTGAATTATTTCCAACTTATTCAACCATAGTTTCGAAATTCGAAATTTTGCTTCGAGTCTGAGTTAACATTTTTCTTCAAAATCTCAGCAATCTTGTTGACGATCTTCTTCACTTTGCTACCTGTTATATAACATGTAGCTGCTACCTGGAAAGACGAACACCATTACCATTGACCATTTGGTACCACACTCGTTTGGGGATAAAAACGCTGACTTTTAAACACATCGGATGGAACACATTCATTGAATGGGCCAAACACGCATGCAAATCTCTATTACGATTCCGAATGGAATTGGAATGCGCGGCGCATCTCACGACCCAGGTCGATTAATGCTGCAGAGTTTATCTAATATCCTTTTATCTCTTCCTTAAATGTTCTGTTGGGCTTTTACTTTAAAGTGAAGTGTATAGGTTTTCAATTTGAGCACGCTCACAACCTCATGAAAATCGTATGTTGCTTGAATGGACATTTATAGATTCATTCTTCCTGTTCTCTCTTTTTAAGATCTACTCTTCAACAAGGCCACCGGAATTTTTTCCTCTAATCGAGTGATAAAATGTGTTGCACAGTTCGCACTGTCACCCTGTTCGGCGAATACCCAGAATGTAATTATTCCGAATTGCTCTTGTTGTTTGATCATGAACAAATTCGCACTAACATTATTATCCCTTAAGGGCGGATGCTATGGACCGTACTTTTCATCTTTCACCTTCCCAGGGTCGATAAACTGGCACCAAACACGTTTATGTCTATAGATCTGGGAGGATTAAAGCATTGATTAGTATATCGGCTATCTATGTTACACTCATACCCGTTCAAAAAGCCACTACGATTTTGGATGAAAGCCAGACGCAATTATGCGGGGACGCACCCTTTTCATGCGAATACTTAGCCTAGTAGAGTCGATTCAGTTCGTAGCACTGTGGAAAAGCATAAAGTAGTGTTTATGGAAGTTGTTCAATTGCCCTATGCGGGCAAAGAACAAATGAAACATTACAGCTGGTGATTCATGGCGATGTATAAGAGTGGGAAGAAAGGCGTGATAGATCCAGTCCCGACAGGCACGCCATACTATCAACTGCTTGGACAACGCGATTCTCCCCATGAGAGCCGCAGTCTTACTTATTCTTGCCAATGTAATCAGCACAGTGTTATCTCAATGGGGTGGCCTTGGTGGTCTTGAAAGAGCAGGTGATTACTTTTTTCCTCAACATAATAATATTCCTATAAATGGAGAGGTTACATGAGTTTGGAAAAGATCAGGACATTTTACCATTGCTAGCAACTGTTCCTTTCGTTCTTAACTGATACACCTGGAACATGTCAATTTCTCACAAGTAGGCTGATCGCCTCTCCTTTCCGTGTAAAGTTGGCCTGTTACCCACACCTTCCTGAATTTCGACGCTTCGGTGCAGGAGAACAGAAACTACAATTTCCTGGCCAAACACGCACACTTGACTAACTTCAAGTAACTTTGTTCTTTCTCTCTTCTTTAACTTCCATTCGTGCCACATGCCATCAGCACTTCCGTACTACCGTCTGTACACCTATCGAAACTGTGCGATCTAGGTCCAAATTGACTCCCCTTCAGGGAGAGTCTAGTTTGCCACCTGTCATCAGTGTTTCCATTCTGCTGCCTGTACGCCTACCGAATTTGAACGCTCAATGTCTACGGGAAGAGGTGTTATGAGCTTCCAGTCAAAGATACACCGATCTACACACCGTTGCACATACACAGAACTATCATTACTTCTTAGCTTTTCTTTCGTAAAAAAAAGTAGTGAGTAGTTTCTCCATATCGAGTAATACAAATCGAGAGAGGGGTTAATATGGGTTGCAATGATCGATCGTTGTGTTTACAGCTATTTTCTTTTGATGTTTCATCAACGTCCTCGGAGTTG